TGCAAGGGTATAAAAGGGTATGCAAGGGTATACAGGGGTATGCAAGGGTATACAGGGGTATGCAAGGGTATGCAAGGGTGTACAGGGGTTGACAAGGGTATACAAGGGTATACAAGGGTATACAAGGGTATACAAGGGTATACAAGGGTTTACCAAGGTATACAAGGGTATACAGGGATTTACAAGGGTTTACAAGGGGATACAGGGGTTGACAAGGGTATACAAGGGTTTACCAAGGTATACAAGGGTATACAGGGATTTACAAGGGTTTACAAGGGTATACACGGGTTGACAAGGGTATACAGGGATTTACAAGGGTTTACAAGGGTATACAGGGGTTGACAAGGGTTTACAAGGGTATATAAGGGTATACAGGGGTTTACGTGATTGTATAGGGGTATACAGGGGTTTGCAAGGGTATAAAAGGGTATGCAAGGGTATACAGGGGTATGCAAGGGTATACAGGGGTATGCAAGGGTATGCAAGGGTGTACAGGGGTTGACAAGGGTATACAAGGGTATACAAGGGTATACAAGGGTATACAAGGGTATACAAGGGTTTACCAAGGTATACAAGGGTATACAGGGATTTACAAGGGTTTACAAGGGGATACAGGGGTTGACAAGGGTATACAAGGGTTTACCAAGGTATACAAGGGTATACAGGGATTTACAAGGGTTTACAAGGGTATACACGGGTTGACAAGGGTATACAGGGATTTACAAGGGTTTACAAGGGTATACAGGGGTTGACAAGGGTTTACAAGGGTATATAAGGGTATACAGGGGTTTACGTGATTGTATAGGGGTATACAGGGGTTTGCAAGGGTATAAAAGGGTATGCAAGGGTATACAGGGGTATGCAAGGGTATACAGGGGTATGCAAGGGTATGCAAGGGTGTACAGGGGTTGACAAGGGTATACAAGGGTATACAAGGGTATACAAGGGTATACAAGGGTATACAAGGGTTTACCAAGGTATACAAGGGTATACAGGGATTTACAAGGGTTTACAAGGGGATACAGGGGTTGACAAGGGTATACAAGGGTTTACCAAGGTATACAAGGGTATACAGGGATTTACAAGGGTTTACAAGGGTATACACGGGTTGACAAGGGTATACAGGGATTTACAAGGGTTTACAAGGGTATACAGGGGTTGACAAGGGTTTACAAGGGTATATAAGGGTATACAGGGGTTTACGTGATTGTATAGGGGTATACAGGGGTTTGCAAGGGTATAAAAGGGTATGCAAGGGTATACAGGGGTATGCAAGGGTATACAGGGGTATGCAAGGGTATGCAAGGGTGTACAGGGGTTGACAAGGGTATACAAGGGTATACAAGGGTATACAAGGGTATACAAGGGTATACAAGGGTTTACCAAGGTATACAAGGGTATACAGGGATTTACAAGGGTTTACAAGGGGATACAGGGGTTGACAAGGGTATACAAGGGTTTACCAAGGTATACAAGGGTATACAGGGATTTACAAGGGTTTACAAGGGTATACACGGGTTGACAAGGGTATACAGGGATTTACAAGGGTTTACAAGGGTATACAGGGGTTGACAAGGGTTTACAAGGGTATATAAGGGTATACAGGGGTTTACGTGATTGTATAGGGGTATACAGGGGTTTGCAAGGGTATAAAAGGGTATGCAAGGGTATACAGGGGTATGCAAGGGTATACAGGGGTATGCAAGGGTATGCAAGGGTGTACAGGGGTTGACAAGGGTATACAAGGGTATACAAGGGTATACAAGGGTATACAAGGGTATACAAGGGTTTACCAAGGTATACAAGGGTATACAGGGATTTACAAGGGTTTACAAGGGGATACAGGGGTTGACAAGGGTATACAAGGGTTTACCAAGGTATACAAGGGTATACAGGGATTTACAAGGGTTTACAAGGGTATACACGGGTTGACAAGGGTATACAGGGATTTACAAGGGTTTACAAGGGTATACAGGGGTTGACAAGGGTTTACAAGGGTATATAAGGGTATACAGGGGTTTACGTGATTGTATAGGGGTATACAGGGGTTTGCAAGGGTATAAAAGGGTATGCAAGGGTATACAGGGGTATGCAAGGGTATACAGGGGTATGCAAGGGTATGCAAGGGTGTACAGGGGTTGACAAGGGTATACAAGGGTATACAAGGGTATACAAGGGTATACAAGGGTATACAAGGGTTTACCAAGGTATACAAGGGTATACAGGGATTTACAAGGGTTTACAAGGGGATACAGGGGTTGACAAGGGTATACAAGGGTTTACCAAGGTATACAAGGGTATACAGGGATTTACAAGGGTTTACAAGGGTATACACGGGTTGACAAGGGTATACAGGGATTTACAAGGGTTTACAAGGGTATACAGGGGTTGACAAGGGTTTACAAGGGTATATAAGGGTATACAGGGGTTTACGTGATTGTATAGGGGTATACAGGGGTTTGCAAGGGTATAAAAGGGTATGCAAGGGTATACAGGGGTATGCAAGGGTATACAGGGGTATGCAAGGGTATGCAAGGGTGTACAGGGGTTGACAAGGGTATACAAGGGTATACAAGGGTATACAAGGGTATACAAGGGTATACAAGGGTTTACCAAGGTATACAAGGGTATACAGGGATTTACAAGGGTTTACAAGGGGATACAGGGGTTGACAAGGGTATACAAGGGTTTACCAAGGTATACAAGGGTATACAGGGATTTACAAGGGTTTACAAGGGTATACACGGGTTGACAAGGGTATACAGGGATTTACAAGGGTTTACAAGGGTATACAGGGGTTGACAAGGGTTTACAAGGGTATATAAGGGTATACAGGGGTTTACGTGATTGTATAGGGGTATACAGGGGTTTGCAAGGGTATAAAAGGGTATGCAAGGGTATACAGGGGTATGCAAGGGTATACAGGGGTATGCAAGGGTATGCAAGGGTGTACAGGGGTTGACAAGGGTATACAAGGGTATACAAGGGTATACAAGGGTATACAAGGGTATACAAGGGTTTACCAAGGTATACAAGGGTATACAGGGATTTACAAGGGTTTACAAGGGGATACAGGGGTTGACAAGGGTATACAAGGGTTTACCAAGGTATACAAGGGTATACAGGGATTTACAAGGGTTTACAAGGGTATACACGGGTTGACAAGGGTATACAGGGATTTACAAGGGTTTACAAGGGTATACAGGGGTTGACAAGGGTTTACAAGGGTATATAAGGGTATACAGGGGTTTACGTGATTGTATAGGGGTATACAGGGGTTTGCAAGGGTATAAAAGGGTATGCAAGGGTATACAGGGGTATGCAAGGGTATACAGGGGTATGCAAGGGTATGCAAGGGTGTACAGGGGTTGACAAGGGTATACAAGGGTATACAAGGGTATACAAGGGTATACAAGGGTATACAAGGGTTTACCAAGGTATACAAGGGTATACAGGGATTTACAAGGGTTTACAAGGGGATACAGGGGTTGACAAGGGTATACAAGGGTTTACCAAGGTATACAAGGGTATACAGGGATTTACAAGGGTTTACAAGGGTATACACGGGTTGACAAGGGTATACAGGGATTTACAAGGGTTTACAAGGGTATACAGGGGTTGACAAGGGTTTACAAGGGTATATAAGGGTATACAGGGGTTTACGTGATTGTATAGGGGTATACAGGGGTTTGCAAGGGTATAAAAGGGTATGCAAGGGTATACAGGGGTATGCAAGGGTATACAGGGGTATGCAAGGGTATGCAAGGGTGTACAGGGGTTGACAAGGGTATACAAGGGTATACAAGGGTATACAAGGGTATACAAGGGTATACAAGGGTTTACCAAGGTATACAAGGGTATACAGGGATTTACAAGGGTTTACAAGGGGATACAGGGGTTGACAAGGGTATACAAGGGTTTACCAAGGTATACAAGGGTATACAGGGATTTACAAGGGTTTACAAGGGTATACACGGGTTGACAAGGGTATACAGGGATTTACAAGGGTTTACAAGGGTATACAGGGGTTGACAAGGGTTTACAAGGGTATATAAGGGTATACAGGGGTTTACGTGATTGTATAGGGGTATACAGGGGTTTGCAAGGGTATAAAAGGGTATGCAAGGGTATACAGGGGTATGCAAGGGTATACAGGGGTATGCAAGGGTATGCAAGGGTGTACAGGGGTTGACAAGGGTATACAAGGGTATACAAGGGTATACAAGGGTATACAAGGGTATACAAGGGTTTACCAAGGTATACAAGGGTATACAGGGATTTACAAGGGTTTACAAGGGGATACAGGGGTTGACAAGGGTATACAAGGGTTTACCAAGGTATACAAGGGTATACAGGGATTTACAAGGGTTTACAAGGGTATACACGGGTTGACAAGGGTATACAGGGATTTACAAGGGTTTACAAGGGTATACAGGGGTTGACAAGGGTTTACAAGGGTATATAAGGGTATACAGGGGTTTACGTGATTGTATAGGGGTATACAGGGGTTTGCAAGGGTATAAAAGGGTATGCAAGGGTATACAGGGGTATGCAAGGGTATACAGGGGTATGCAAGGGTATGCAAGGGTGTACAGGGGTTGACAAGGGTATACAAGGGTATACAAGGGTATACAAGGGTATACAAGGGTATACAAGGGTTTACCAAGGTATACAAGGGTATACAGGGATTTACAAGGGTTTACAAGGGGATACAGGGGTTGACAAGGGTATACAAGGGTTTACCAAGGTATACAAGGGTATACAGGGATTTACAAGGGTTTACAAGGGTATACACGGGTTGACAAGGGTATACAGGGATTTACAAGGGTTTACAAGGGTATACAGGGNACTGTTTGGTTGTTAATTAGCAGATCAGCTGTTTTCCTGTACAATGTAGTATTCATCCTCTCCCACAATGACAAGTGGACAATTCTATTCCATGGCATTTACTGTAAATGACCTCTACAGACGAGGTACATGACTTGTACATGTACATGAAAATATACAATGTAATAGTGTCTCCAGCATCTGTGGACAGTTTCCTCGACATAGCTGTGGTCCCCCCTTATACAATGTTTTGACAGGGACAGATAACTTCCCATTCTCCAAATCACTTTGTTACAGGCATTCTGATTATTTTGACTTTTTGAATACCGATATTCTACAGGTATCTTCCAAAAAAAATTAATTAATTAATAAACTGTTTCAAAGCCATCTTTATCCATTTCACAATTTTGAGGATTTTGCAGCCATTTGTAGGGGGCATACACTGTATCTTGATATAAATGTTCCACTCATCCTCTTCATGACTGAAAGTTGTAACTTTTTGCTGTCAACCAGGGAACATGACAAAGGACCTGACTTGTTCTTCCACACTTTGTATCAGTTGGCTGATCAAGGATTGCAATTCAAGGTTTCTGTTTTAGGAGAAAGGTTCTCTGAAGTTCCAGGTGAGTTTTTTCCAGAAAATTGTATATATTTGATTGAATTTATACATTAACGTGTCAGAGGCATGGTGAAAACACTGGATTTCATATTGTGATGTACAGGTGCAATGTTGGAGCCTTACATTTTATTGTAAAGTACCTCTCTGACTTCCTAGCATTATTGATGGGTACTGCAAGATCATTCAGGGAGCTCAGGACTCCTTCTGTAGATACCTCGTGCTGTAGAAACTGCACTTAGGAGCTTACACCAATGAGCTGTTCTTCTCCAATGACCCTCTAACTGGGATGGAATCTTAAATTTTCACTGAAGTCTCTACAGTCGAAACTCCCGTAAGCCACCACCCAAAATGTCAGGCCCAGGTGGTAGCTTACGAGAGGTGGTCGCTTATGAGAATTTAGACCATATTGGCTCAAAATTTTGCCTAATGGTAACTGCAGCGGCTTACCCCATGTTTTAAACTGTTTCATTCATGTGAAAAGTCAATTTTGAGAAAAAATCTGGTACTTCCCATGGAGAAATTTCCCTCTCTTGCACTACCAGGAGTGCAATAATATTGCAACACCTTATTATCCAATTTTTGCTCTATTATCTGTCAAGTGGTCACTTACAGGAGGTTAAAAACAAGAGAAACTTTCAAACTTTTAGCTCTAAAAGTAATCGTGGTCACTAACGAGAGGTGGTCGCTTACAAGAGGTTCCAAATATAGTGATTTGACTTGGAAACTTTTGGTATTTTGGAAAACTGGTCACTGAGGAGAGGTGGTTGCAACTGGAGGTTCCACTGTTTTTGCGTGTATGATCAGAGGATTCAACCATATTGTCATAAAAAACAACAACAACAACATTATAAAATTGTAATAATCATGAATTTCAATTTACTTCCAAGGTATTTTTGAAGAAGCCTTCACACGAATCAGAGATCATATTCTCCACTGGGGTTATCAAGAATCTCGCCAGGATTACATTGCCATACTGAGGGCTGCTGATGTAGCTGTGTCAACTGCTCAACACGAGTTTTTTGGTGTTTCAATGTAAGTCATGATCATTCACTACTCGTAAAATTAAGGATGGTGTACGATGTACTTTTATTGGAAAAAGTAGTTAGCTGTAGTAGACATCATGCAATTGAGAATTTGTAACTGATCACACTTTTAATATAAGGTACATGTTACACTTCTATGCACCGTTGCCTCTTGGGAAAGTTTTTGACTAAATTTTGACATCTTTTTCACAACTTTTTGGCAATTTTTTGCTGGATTCTATCAATCAAAGTGTAGGACCTGCTGAGGGTGGAAATGTTAAATTGTTAAATTTATCATTCACTCGTGGGAATTTCAAAATTCTCAACCTATGTACATTTGAAACTGGCAGCAAGTTGTTGCAGGTTGATAATGGCCATTTGAAACAGAAGCTATCAGAAGTTGTCAAAAAGATGTCAAAAAGTTGTCAAACTAGTCAAAATACTTTGATTCCTTGGTGACAGGAGTGTAATTTTTTTTTTTGAGGGGGGGGGACACCCTGCACCCTGCCACTTAAAATAATGACCAGCTCCCAGCGACATCCATCGATAGTTAGCAGACCACTTTGTGGCCAATCAGATCGTGAGTTTGCCTGATAGTTTGCCAGTGAGTCATTTATACCCCACTAAGTTACATTAATATGTATTGCACGTTTCAGGCTGGAAGCAGTGCAACATGGCTGTTATCCACTTTGTCCAAACAAGTTGGTTTACCCAGAAATATTTCCTTGTAAGTTTGTATTTCTTTGTAATAGATTATTTGTTTCAGCAGTTTGTTCTTCCTTCACTTACATGCGTTAGCATGCACAGTTATAGTTGTTGGTATAGTCGAACCTCCATTAACAGCAACCTTGCGACAATGGCCACTTTTTTGTTGTCCAGGTGGACAGGCCATGTTTTGCCTCATTTTGACCTCTCCACAATGACAACGGCCACTAACATACTAAAGCGCATCGCAGCTGCCAAGAAAACCTATCGACAATGACCAGTTTATCAACGACTGGAGAACGGGAAATCTCATTTTTCATTGGATAAGGTCAGGAAGCTCGATCACTACTGCCCACATTGCTGGTCTCTGTTTCTTTTTGGTTTCGGTTTTATTGATAAATCCTGATTTTGTTATCTATTTAGACGGTGCAATCCTGGGGGGGGGTACTCCCAGAAAAGTTGGGTGGGGGTGTGTGGCCCACTTCCCAAAACCCTTACCCTATTTACATGTATGACCAAAATCTGCATTTTTTGCTACCCTATTTCTGACGTGGCCAAACATTTGACACCCTATTTATGACCGTTGCAGCTGACAGAGTTGCCCTAAACATAAGTTATGGAGGGCTTTTGTTGACGGTCTTATTGATAATGATGAAAAAGTAGCTTCTTCCAAGAAACATACCCAATTAAAGACTAGAGT